GTAATGGACAGGGAAGCCTCGTGTGCTGCAATCCATGGGGTCGCAAAGAGTTGTTTGTACACGATTGAGTGACTGAACTAACTAACTAATGAAGTAAGTTGAAAACTTTTTTTTTTAATGAAACCATTACCTAACTTAAGAACTCGAACATGGCTCCACTATGATGAAGTCCATCTGCAGGCTCCTCATCTTCTACCCCAGACCCCTGGAAAATCCGCTATCCTGATCCTCCGCCAGAATTCTCCCTCCAGGTAATGACAGCTTCATTCACTTCTATCCTAAAGCCAGAAATTCCGGAACGTCTTTAACTCTCCCCTTTCCCTCAGCCCCTGTGTCCCTCACCCACAACTCCAGAATTCTTGACTGTGTGTCCCATAGCACGGTGGAATTCAGCTTCATCTTCCTATTGTCAGAGCCCCTGCCTGAGGCTGACTACCAACTCTCACTGGATCCTACGAATGCTGGCTGATTGCCCTTCAGTTCATCCTCGTTCCTACAACCAGAAGAATATTCTTAAATGCAAAGTTGATGGTGCTACTTCCCCATGTAAAACTCTTTAGTGTCTTTCCATCACATTTAAGTGAATCTTGGAAGGCCTGTCTTGATCTCAGCCCCACTTAGCTCTGGTGCCTCTTGAGCCACTCTCCACCCTCCAGCCACAGGGATGTGACACTTACTTCAGTCTTTTAAGCACGTCACGTGCCCTCTGGCATATGTGATGTGCTCAATCACTCAGTGTGTGCCACTCTTTGCGACCCCATGGACTGCAGCCCACCAGGCTCCTCTGTCCATGGAACTCTGCAGGCAAGAATACTGGAATGGGTGGCCATTGCTTTCTCCAGGGGATCATTCTGACCCAGAGATGAACCCACATCTCCTGCATTGGCAGGCAGATTCTTTCCGCATGTGCCACATAGGCAGACACTCTAAATTGTCCCCAGCATGCATTGTCTTCTCTTTAGTAAGAGAACCGGCCCCACTCAGCCCTAGATTTAATAGGACACATGACACCCAGCTAGTGACCACTTTCGTCAGTCTCCCATGCCATCAGACGTGATGCTGTGGCCAGATTTTTGTGACTGGATTGTGAGAAAGAGCAATATGTGCAACTATAACTTAGTGGCTCAGATGGTAAAGAATCTGCCTGCAAAGTGGGAGACCAGGTCCATGGGTCAGGAAGATCCCCTGGAGAAGGAAATAGCAACCCACTCTAGTATTCTTGCCTGCAGAATTCCACGGACAGAGGAGCCTGGTAGGCTACAGTCCATGGAATCATAAAGAGTCAGACACAACAGAGCGACTAACTATAACTTTACTTCCTTAGAAGTAAACTGATTGCCCCTTGCTTCTTCCTTAGGGCTGGAATGCAGAAGTGGAGCTAGAGAATAATCTTTAACTGTGTGGATGAGGATATGGGAAGGCTATAAAATGGAAGGAAACTGTGACTATGACTGTCCAGGCGCATATGGATATTTGAACAGGTTAAGCTGTGTATTAGTCAGGATAGTTTGGGTGATGTTGTGACAAACAACTCTCAAAGCATGGTGGCTTAACATAACAGAGGTTTATTTTTCACTTATGCTCCATGTCCAACCCAGATCAGTAGAGTGGCTCTGCTCAGGGACCCAGCCTAATGGAGGGCTTCATCTGAATATGCTCTTTAATGAACACACAGGAGGCCAACCGCACTCTGTCGCATCACATTTCCAGCTGGGAGTCAACCACATCACTCCACTCAACAATGCAAGTCACACAGTCTTGCCTCATTCAAAGAGGACTAAGGATAGGTAATTGTGTTCCTAGAAGGAAGAGAAACCCAGAATATCTGTGACTAGTGCTAAAGACTCTTAGCTTCTGGCTTAGTATATCTTAGCTTGTACTCCCCCAAAAAGGTAAACTCTCTTTCTCTTGCTCAAATGTTTACAGGATATTTTTTGTTTCAAAATGTATATTTTAAAAATTTCACAAAACGATGTCATCCCATTAATTCTTCCCACAATCTTAACCCTTGGGAATCCTAAAGTAACTATTGCCTTTGTGTAAAGACTCCCAAATATTTACCTAAGTATCTGATCTCTTTCCAAATCTCCAGGACTAGGTTTCCAACTGCTTCCTACCTGTCAAATTTGACAAGCTAAAAACAATGGACTATATTAATTTTATTCTCCTCTTAAATTTGATTCTTCTAACAGTGTTTATAGTCTTTTTACTTTTAGTTTTATTTCTTATATCTTTGCATCCCCAGTCCCTAGAACAGTGCCTGGCTTGAAAAGAGGCATTGTATATTTGGTGAATCAATGAATAAATGTATATTGTCATGATCTGTCAATGGCTCCCCAAACCTGCAATCACCCCTGACTCCAATCCCCTCCTTACATGCCTACAGCATGGCCCTACTACCTGTCACATCTGTGTATTTAAATGCCCATCACCTATCAACTAGATTATTACAATAGTTATCAACATCTCCAATTTTTCCATTCTCCCGTCCATTTTATGCAGCATTCTCATATTAATTTCCTTGAAGGATGTGTCTATTCTATCACTTATTCTATAATCCTATAAGGAGCATGTATCTTATGCAAGTATCTAAAGACAAAAACGAGCAAAGCAGTCTCCACGCTTGAGTAGCTCATGTTCCAGAGGGAGGGAGAGATGTGTCTAGAGACGNGTCCATTTTATGCAGCATTCTCATATTAATTTCCTTGAAGGATGTGTCTATTCTATCACTTATTCTATAATCCTATAAGGAGCATGTATCTTATGCAAGTATCTAAAGACAAAAACGAGCAAAGCAGTCTCCACGCTTGAGTAGCTCATGTTCCAGAGGGAGGGAGAGATGTGTCTAGAGACGCAGAGCATGGAGAGCAGGGCCAAGACAGGAGCACAGAAGCAAGCGACGGGTGTGACAGACGCCGAACCAGTCAAGAAGGCACAGGAGAGAGGACATTTACGTCACCTCCTAACAGACAATTAGACATTTTCAAGCTTGCCATTAGACAGAAATAGGAACTATTCATCATTTGAGTCAGAAGAGAAAAAGGAAAGAATGCATGCTAACCGAGGTTAGTTTAGAAGTGGGGATTAGGGAAGAAATTTGACAGTGATTATATCTGCGGACGTCTGTTTATTCTCTGACACATATGAGGGATGAAGAACAAGTCACTGGCTGTGTCATCTTCCAGTGAGATATGCTCCCACCTAGTGAGGATGACTTCCAGTTCCCCACATCTGATGGAACTCTCTAGCTATTCCCCGACATTCGATTTCTGCTGACAGGTATTGAATTGGGTCACATTAGGAAGCTGCCGTTTCCTGCTCTTCCTTGCACATTCCCACCATTCAGGCTGCAGTCTGCCTTTCCCCGGAATGCTTAGATAGACATTGCTTTCCAGGGGAGGGAGCCTTTAGTCAAGTAAATTGCTGCATGGGTTTCGTAAATTCACAGCAGACCAAATTGCTTGGAAGCCATAGCACTCTTTTTATTTACATAAGCCAGGCTTTTTTGAGAGAGAAAATAGGAGAGTTTTCTTCTGGCAGGGTGGGAGTATGTGGGGAATATTATTTTTGGAATTCCAAGGGCTGATCTTTGAATATAGTGCCAAAGCCTGGAAAATCAAAAGCATAGATTTTATAAATAAGTCACAAAGAACAGAAAGATCACAAAATAACAGTTTTTGCCACATGACATCATTTCTGCAATATACACACACACCATCAAAAAGAATACCGTCTGACCAGCAGGCAGAAAGAAGTGGAGTTTTATAATTTACTTTAAGTGCCTCTTGTATGCAAGGCTCTTGGGGGATAAAAGAAAATTAGGAACAGGGGGGTTCAAGAGGGAGGAGACATACGTATGCTTATGGCTGATTCACATTGTATGGCAGAAACCGACACAGTGTTGTAAAGCAACTATGCTCCAATTAAAAATAATTTTTCTAAAAAGGATCGTATAATCCAATGAGAGTGATTGAGAAACCCTCTTCACAGAAATATGTGAGGAGTGTCCTTTCTCTTCATATTGACCTAGACTTTGCTGTGATTCCTGGCTCTGTGCTTAGGCTTCCAGAGAGCATACAGTTTTTGATAAAATCTTCCAGAAATGTTCACAGAACTTGACCTGACGAATTTCCAGGAGAACTAGAAGTGTAACCAAAATACACAGATCATCCAGATAAACTATCAAACACCAGCAGAAACAGGGGGATGGACTGATCTAACGTCCCCCGTCATTTGAGAAATACTTAGAAACAGCAAACTGGAGGCTTTTAAGAGAGAAAGCCTCAGCCCTAACAGTTCTCCAAGGAATATGCTTGAAAAGCCTTTGGAGCTACGTAATAATTAGTAGGCAAATTAATTAAATTACCTTTACAATCAGAAGTACACTACTCTTTGCTTACTGTAAGAATTATACAGGATTACCTTGAAATCTCCTTGAAAATGGTCTAGAATTGCTTTCTGGTAAAGAAAGTCTGAAAGACAGAGGTTCTCCTTTTTTTGTGTGTTTTTTGGTTTGGTTGGTTGGTTGGTTGGTTTCTTATTTTGTGGGCAGATGAGTGAGAAAAAAATGAAGGCCATGAAATTTGCTTCTCTTTTGAAAGGACTAATGCCTCCCCTCCACCTTTTTGCAATATAAATTTTACTATTGCTCAAGAGAATATAGACCTGCCAAGAGATCTTTTAAAAAAAAAAACCCCTTCGATTGAAAGAAAGAAAAATAACCTAGACAGATGGGAAAATACCACAAAGCCTTTAACCTTAATTAATAATTACTGGAACTGAAAGAAAAACTTAGAGTGCTGTTCAAGTTCCCTCAAGGAAACGTCAAACTCTCCTCACCAGAGAAGAGCTTTACTCAACAGCCAGGAATCCACGAGAAGGAGGGACATGAGGAATTTCACAAGCTATTTCAGTTACTTGGAATTTTCTTAGGCAAACCCCGTCAATTCTGCGCATGCGTGTTGTGGGTGCAGCCGGGGTCGCGCCCAGATCCCCATCAGCGGACCGCAGCCCGCACGTGCCAGCTGCTGGGAGCGTTGGCCTCGGACGGAGTGATGGTCGCCCGCTTCCCAAGCACAGCTGTCTCAAGAGAGTGACAGTGTCCTGTAGGAAGGTCGTGCCCCACCCCGGGAGGGAGGACGCAATGACTGTCTGACCCAGAGACACAGGGGCTGGGCTCCGCCTCACTGGGAGCAAAACTCCATGGGACCGTCGTGGCCCAGAGCACCCGGTCGGGCCCGGCGGAGACCAGTCTGCAGGAGAACTTCTCCTCAAGTAGCCTTCCTCTCCGGTCAGTTCTTGCTCTCGCAATTTTTCTTTCTCCTGGGAGCATTACCTCAACAAATCTCTTCCACAAGAATCCTTGTTTCAGGCACTGCTTCTGAGGAAGTCAACCCAAGACAATGCAACTAAATAAAATCGGAAGCACTCTTACACCATTCCTGCAATCCCCTTTCTGCTGTCTTTTCTCTATGCTAACCAATATTCCGGTTTTTTTATACTTTTTATATTTTTAATCAAGCTCTTTCCTCAGACGGAGAAGGCAATGGCAACCCACCCCAGTACTCTTGCCTGGAAAATCCCATGGACGGAGGAGCCTGGTAGGCTGCAGTCCATGGGGTCCTGAAGGGTCGGACATGACTGAGCGACTTCACTTTCCCTTTTCCTTTTCATGCATTGGAGAAGGAAATGGCAACCCACTCCAGTGGGAATCCCAAAGACAGGGGAGCCTGGTGGGCTGCCGTCTATGGGGTCGCACAGAGTCGGACACGACTGAAGTGACTTAGCAGCAGCAGCAGCTTCCCTCAGAAAAGGATCTGACAGAGTCAGCTTCTTACACTTTTTTAAAAAATCTATTTATTTGACTGCACCATATGGGATCTACTTCCCTGACTAGGGATCGAACCCACGTCTGCTGCACTGGAAATGTGGAGTCTTTGCCTCTGGACCACCAGGGAAGTCCCAGCTTCAAACACTTTTATGATAGCAGGTCTTAGGGTTTCTCTCTCTCTCCTGAGGTATTGCATTATATTGCATTTAACAAGATGCAAAGAACATGACTGAATTAAGGGATTCATTGTTAGTAGCTAAAGACTTTTGAGGGAGTGGAGTGAACTTTTCAGCCCCTAAAGCAACACATCACAGGTCTGTACATACTCTACCTAAACACAAGTTTCACCTTAATTAGAAAGGTTTGGTGTCATTTGTTTTTGTAAACTGATAACCCCTGACATCACTGCAAATACACCGAAGAACCCTTCCACTTCCCCCATTCTTAGGAAGGCATGGAGGGTGTTCTGAAAGCAGGAGCCAAGGATCTCTCTCTTTCCTCCACTCCCGTGTTTCCTGGACTCATCCTCTCCCAGGAATCACAGACAATGAGTTAATCAGTTCAGCATTGTTCCTTGGAGTTTTATCTGCACTGAGGGAGGGGGAAAGGGGTCACAATATCATTGATATACTAAATCCAAAAACTACAGAAGTAAAAAATCCTATTTAACTTGCTAAATCCAGACTTCTTAAAGTTACCTCTAGAATCAGATTTTTATGACTCATAGATTAGGACACACCAATATGATCCAATGTCCTCATTTTACACATAAGAACTTGAGCCTCCTCTCTCCCTCTGCCCCGAATTTCCCTTCTTTGTTTTGCCAGCTCCCTGGGTGTGGACCAGCCCCAGCTCTGCAAGGATGTGTGGCATCCTAGAGCCGGTGCTGTGTCCCTGCTGACCACGTGCGCCATGCCCTCACCAGCTGCTGCGCCGCTCTCGCTGGCGGAGGAGGCTGACTGCATGTTCCACCTTCGAAGATGACTTCCCCTGGTTCCCAAGTCAGTGTTTGCAGTGTGAGAATCGGGCCTCCTGCTGCGTGTGTATGAGCAGACAACATTGTCCCAGACCCAAGTCAACTAAACAAGTGACCTGTTTGCTTTGATTGGAGGTGTTGCTGCGGAGCTAGAATGCACCCTCACAGATCTTTTTTGTGGGATTACACCTGTGTGAATTCACAACAATTCTCTGTTCCAGTGACTTTGAGGATTCAAGGTATCTGTTTCCGTCAACATGTTTTTTTAATGATTCATATTTTTTAAACATTTAGTGATGCTAGATACTTCTCCCTCCTTGTTTAGACTATCAACAATCACTGCTTAATAACAGCTTGACTTTGTGATCAATGAAGTCAAACTGAAAGGTGGTTATTCCATGAAAAAGCAAAGAATTTACGGTCAAAATCCTTTGGTTTGTCTTTTAGCTCTAATCATGAGAAAAGGACACAGGGTTCTTCAGAGACATGTCATACTGTCTGCATATTTATAAATAAATGAAAGCCACGGGGGTGGGAGGGACGTCTTTAGAAATAAACTCTCAGACTTCAAGTTCAGCTAAGGAAACTGTAGCAAAATGTGCCTATGGCTGAAAAGAAAGTCAGTCATTGTATACCCTGTTTAGTATTCAGCCTTTTATCTGGAGCTAATACATGAACCATGAACTTCCAGATGTTCAAGCTGGTTTGAGAAAAGGCAGAGGAACCAGAGATCAAATTGCCAACATCTGCTGGATCATCAAAAAAGCAAGACAGTTCCAGAAAAACATCTATTTCTGCTTTATTGACTATGCCAAAGCCTTTGACTGTGTGGATCACAATAAACTATGGAAAATTCTTCAAGAGATGGGAATACCAGACCACCTGACCTGCCTCTTGAGAAACCTGTATGCAGGTCAGGAAGCAACAGTTAGAACTGGACATGGAACAACAGACTGGTTCCATATAGGAAAAGGAGTACGTCAAGGCTGTATATTGTCACCCTGCTTATTTAATTTATATGCAGAGTACATCATGAGAAATGCTGGGCTGGAGGAAGCACAGCTGGAATCAAGATTGCCGGGAGAAATATCAANCCACTCAAATTGTCCCACGGGCAGACAACAGTGAGGCCTCCCAAGGCCAGTCTGTTGCAGCACAGTGCCTCCTTCACGAAACACAGCCTCCCTCAAAATTTCACGGGGGGCAGCCGTGTGTGAAGGGGCACAAGCCTCCAGGCCAATCACTACTAGGGCCTGCTAATCTGTTTGGGGCTTCACACCTCTCTTCCCTTCCAGCAACATGAACAAGAATGATTTCCTAACCAGCCGTGCTCCTGATTCATTCTCTCTGCATATAGGGTGAGGAGAGGAGCAAAGTGAAAGACATTTCCCCACAGTTACATTCAGAGATATAATTTTTGACAGTTAAAGGGGACCTTAAACATGGTCTTGAAAAGTACTTTGCTTTTCACCCAGGAAGATTCTGCTGTTTCAGGAAGGCATGTCATTGTTGTTTGTCTCCATGCACTCCTGGAGCAGGTGTGTTTTGCAGTCATTAGCAATGTAGCCAGCCTCTCCCTTTGTACAACTTCAGTAAGGATTTGAGCCTACACACACGCACGCACACACATTGATCTAGGGAGTGGGAATGAAAGGCAATATGAAATAAAAGGGAAAATAAAGGATGCTGATGAATGGAGTTCAGAGTCAGCTGAGCAACTCTTTGGGTTCCATGGAAGCACCATGTTTAGAGGTTTGATAGGCCACTGGCTAAGGCTGAGGCTCAGCAGGCTTCAGCTGGCGTACATCGTCTCCCCAGTGTGTTTCAAGTTCCCTTCCTGTTCCAACACACACCTCACCCCTTTTATTTACAAATTTAATTTAAATTAGTGCACATGGGTCTTCGAGAAAATTGTTAAACTGCTGGAAGAACAGATGTTGTAAACTGAAAAGAAAGTGTTCATTTTGCTGAAGTGTATTTGTGTGTGTGTGTGTGTGTGTGTGTGTGTGTCCCCAGAGCTAATTCTGAGCAGATTTTGCTTTTGACTTCTCCAGGAAAATATTTATTTTCTTTGGAGTGTGGAATTACTGTTCATTCCTGGCGAGAGCTGATTGTTTGCTTATATTAGTTTGCCAGGGCTACCATAACATAGTATTCTGAACTGGGTGGTTTAAACAACAAAAATTTATTTTCTCCCAGCCTGGAGGCTAGAAAGCCAAGATCAAGTTATCCACAGGATTGGTTTCTTCTGAGAAGGAAAATGAACTGTTGTTGACAGTTACCAAATCTGAATTCTTGTGCTGTTAGCTTTCAGGTTAAGCTCAATGCAAAAGTTCAATTTAGGATTCTCCAAGAAGAGAAGAAATCTAAACTATATGATAATCCATAGGGTCATCTATTTAAGTGCTTTTTCGCATTGCAATTGTGTCTTTTCAGGAACAGTTTCCTTATGTCTATAAAAGGCATTAAGCAGTAATGCATCTCACACTTTCTGATTGGTTTTCTCTTGGCCTCACCTTCAGTCTGCAACTTAGCAGAGTGTATCTACAGTTTCCAGTGGAAGATGTTAGGGGCATAGTTCTACTGTGGTTGGCCATGAAGTTAATAAGCTTTTCTTCACTACCCGACACACCAAAGCTTTGTGGCAGAGAACACCATTTGCGACCTGACTCTTAAGCTCAATTTTGCTTTATTTTGTTTTCTTCCTCAGGACAAGACCCTTTAAAGAAAACTACAGCTGGGTTTGATGCAAGTTGAGAAACCTATAATGTGTATTATTGATTCTTTTCTCATCTCTGCAAAGGCAAAGATACTAAAAATAGTGAAGCCACTTATCACAGCCTCCTCCAAGGCCCTGTGCTGAATTTCACATTTGTACTTTCCTATTCTCAAAGAGGACTTCCCCACTGCATAATATGCAGGCATTCTAAAACCTGGATTCATTCTTGAACCTGTGAAAATCAGGCCACACCAGCCTGGGAATAAAGTCAGAGACAAAAGAATATTTTTCTAATTCTATAGCATCATGTCATGTTTAAAATAAAATAACAGAATTTGGTTTGCTTTGGTTCCTTTCTTTTCTTTTTTTAGTATATTACAAATGTGTAAAAATCTTCCTTCAAATGCTGCTAAAATGGGCAGCAAGAACCATGAGACATTTATCTTTGTTTTTCTTTCTAAAAATGAGTGAAGAAAAACTGTTGCAAAAATTTGTGCAACAAAGCTGAATCGTAATGATTCAGCTGCAGCTTAAAAACTTTCGATAATTACAGTGTAATCGTGGGCATGGGAAGCCTGTTTGCACCCTTGTATTACTGTCATACGGCTGTCAGAACAAATCACCACTAACTTGGTGGCTTAAGGCAACAGAAATTTATGCTGTCACAGTTCTGGAGACCAGAAGTCCAGAACTAAGGCATTGGCAAGACTCCCTTCAAAGGCTCTCGGGGAGAATCTTTCCTCATCTCCTATAGCTTCTGGTACTTTTGGCCTTCCTTGGCTTGTGGCGGCATAACTCTGCCTCTGTCTTCACGTGGCCTTCTTCTGTGTCTCACCATGTCCAAATCTCTTTCACCTTTCTCTTAAAAGACACAGGTCTTTAGATTCCATGTCCAAATCTCTTTCACCTTTCTCTTAAAAGACACAGGTCTTTAGATTTAGGCTCACTCTAAATCCAGTCTGATTTCATCTGGAGACCATAATGAATTCTATCTGCAAAGATGTCATTTCCAACAAGGTCACTTTCTGAGACACTGGGTGGACATGGGTTTCAGGGGACAATATTCAACTCTTGACAATCTGTGGGATAATATTATTAGCTATCTGTATTTAATTGACTGTGGTTAAAACCTTTAACTGTATGGATCACAACAAACTGTGGAAAGTTCTTAAAGAGATGGGAATACCAGACCATATTACCTGCCTCCTGAGAAACCCATATGTAAGTCTAGAAACAACAGTTAGAGCCAGATAGGGAACAACAGATTGGTTCAAAATTGGGAAAGGAGTACACCAAGACTGTATATTGTCACCCTGCTTATTAAACTTATATGCTGAGTACATGATGCAAAATGTCAGACTGGATGAAGCACAAGCTGGAATCAAGATTGCCAAGAGAAATATTGATAACCTCAGATATACAGATCAGTTCAGATCAGTTGCTCAGTCATATCTGACTCTTTGCGACCCCATGGACTGCAGCATGCCAGGCCTCCCTATCCATCACCAGTGCCCAGAGTTTACTGAAACCCATGTCCATTGAACTGGAAATGCCATTCAACCATCTCATCCTCTGTCATCCCCTTCTCCTCCTACCTTCAATCTTACCCAGCATCAGGGTCTTTTCAAATGAGTCAACTCTTCACATCAGGTGGCCAAAGTATTGGAGTTTCAGCTTCAGCATAAGTCCTTCCAATGAACACCCAGGACTGATCTCCTTTAGGATGGACTGGTTGGATCTCCTCGCAGTCCAAGGGGCTCTCAAGAGTCTTCTCCAACACCACAGTTCAAAAGCATCAATTTTTCGGTACTCAGCTTTCTTTATAGTCCAACTCTCACATCCATACATGACTATTGGAAAAACCATAGCCTTG